TACATGCACATGCAACATGAGCACAAGATCTTGATTTTTTGTCCTATTTGAAGGACTAGACACTGAGCTACACCACAAACAAGGGGAAAATTCTACACCAGGATCGAACCCCTTGCTAGTTAGCCAGTATGTTAACTTGAAAGTTAACCATTGACCATCCAACCCGCCAGTGTGCTACAAGGGAGTTTTATCCGGACAGCTGTGCTAAGGCCTACTCATATATTGAGTTCCAACTGTCAGGGGATCTTTAACGTGCATGCCGATGTGTACATGGAACCTCAGTTTTTCTTCCCATCCGAAAGACTAGAAACCTGTGCAGTACACAAACACATTCTCCTTATTATTCCAGTCTGTGACTACAGTAACTTGATATTGTACACATTGGCGTGCACGTAAAAGATCCCTTGGTAGTTGGAATTCGATATAAGAATATTCTGTTGTGCCGCTGCCCGGGCAAAATTTCCCTCATAGCACACTGTATGGCGTATGTCCGTCTTCATTAGCCCAGTTTAGGAGCAGAACAGTAGGACGTTAAACCCCATTTCATTTCGTGTACATTGGACCTCAGATTTTTGTCCCATCCGAACGACTAGACAGCTGTCCTTGTCAGGCTCTCTGTCCTGCAACACTGCCAAGCAGAAACCACATCGGAAAATCCTGATGAACACTAGCCAGCCAGTGTCTTACTCACTTAGCCACTGTGGCTCCGGGGTCATAAATGTAGTGCCACAAAAAAAAAATTTGCAGTTCACAAACACATTCTCCTTACTATTTGAGTTTGTGACTACAGCAACTTGAAACAGGTCCAATAAATAGCCTTTTTTATGCGGTTTGCAATCGAAATCAAACCTGAGAGGGAAAACAAATAATGATAATGCATGAAAAAGTAGTGAGAATGAAATGGGGTTTAACATCCACTCGACTCAAACTAGGTTATTTCAGGACTAACCGTAGGGGTCTTTAGCAGTGGGAGGAAACCGGAGTACCCAGAGAAAATCCACGGGGTTGGACAGGCGACCCTACTCCTTGTCATTTTCCTTTTACGTACATGCCAATGTGTACATAGGACCTCAGTTTTTCGTCCCATCCAAACGACTAGACAGCTGTTTTTGTCAGGTCCTCCGTCCTGCATCACGGACAAGTGGAAACCACGTCGGAAAATTCTGATGAGCTTTCTCAGGCAACACTGTGAGCGAACCTGTGACCTCCAAGCAAGCCAGCCAGTGTCTTATTCACTTAGCCACTTTGGCAAAGGGGTCATAAATATAATTCCACAAAAAAACCTGTGCAGTTCACAAACACATTCTCCTTACTATTTGAGTCTGTGACTACAACAACTACTCGAAAGTAGTGCGAACTGTAAATTTTATTTTGTTAAACTATCGTAAGAAAAGAAACATATTGAATATGCCTGTCAATATTCTTTCTCTGTCAGAGCAGCTAAAATTTGAAATTGTCTTCCAAAAACTCTTCGTGAGTCCTCTTCCATCCAAAAGAGAGAGAGAGAGAAATGTGGTTTAACGTCCACTTGACACAAACCAGGTCATTTCGGGACTAACATGGTTTAATTTTATTTCAATAATTTGCTTGCGCGTAGGGGTCTTTAGCAGTGGCAGGACCCGGAAAAAACCCACGAGGTTGGACAGGCGACCCTACTCCTTGTCACGTATAACCGGGGATTCGAAACCACGCCAGTTGACTCAATGACAGGTCGTATGACCATTCGGCAATCCAACCCCCCAAAAATGGTGTTGAAATGGGTGTTTTTGTGAATGCGCTTAGAAATACTCATGTGTAATGAAGTGCTATATTTGAACCATAATAATAATATAGTAGGCCTAGTGGACTCCTCTATCTCAATTTTGGTTGAATGTTTGGAAATTTGATGGCTAATTAGATTTAGGACACTCTGGAATATTTTCTAGGCTTGGCTTCATGTGGCCTGTTTTCCATGCATACAAGAACTAGACAATTAGAAGTTAAACAAAATAAAATCTGCATCAAAATAATACATTATTTTTTTATTTCATTGCCCGAAACACCTTTACAGCCTGAATGGTAATATTGGGGCAGCGTTTATGTCTGCATGGGTGGTTATTGAATTTATTAAATTGACTAACTTTTGCACAATGAGTAAATATAAATTATCTTAATACCCCAAGGCAGACACAAGTGGCCTTTCAAACCAATTTAAATTCGGTCAAAATTTGTAGAAATTTAGATATTATTTTATTGCATGTGTGTACAATTTGTTATGTGTCTAAGCTCTGTTACCACAAAAAATATATTTAATTTAGTCCTTATAGTAGATTCTATCACACGTTTGAAAGTTGTCCAGCGAATATATATGTTATAGTTTGACCTAGATAAATATAAGACTGGGAAAATAAATATTAAAAAAATTCCGACATCTTAATAGTAGATACCTATATTCGCAATGGGAATATTATTTTACATATCGGGATTATTTAATTTGATACAACTGAATAAAATGGCTCTAGTCGATCTATTTTAAAAAACATCAACAAAATATACGAGTTTGGCTACTGCATCCGTCGTGATCCGAATAAAGTTGTACGTATGTATATTATATCATGTGTATGCTTTAAAAAAGGCCTCTAAATCATATAATATATTCTTCAATTTTACTATTCATAGGCCTAAAATATTGCGTAGTCGGTAGTTATAGCCTATATATAAAATATTGAAGTGCGTAGGCCTACAGTTGATAGTCGCATAGACTGCGTTGTTATCTACGTATATATATATGCCGCCATTTTGGGTCAATCTCAAGATAAATTACAGTCAATGCAAATGAATAACTACATCGATAGATTATTAAATGTAATTTCTATTAACTGATTTCAATGTTAGGTGGTCTATGTTTGTTGTCTTTTTCAGTATATTGTCCACATTGATTAAACTATCATTATTAAAATCATTTTGATTCTTTTAAATTTGTACGTACTTTTTCACAACTCTGAACCCGGAAGCGAGGTATTCTGGGAAGGTTATTTTAAAATGGCGGGCGATTGGAATTTATTCGTGGAGTGCATGAGAAATGTTTAATATACAGCTACTTGGATTACACAAACAGAGAAAGATAGATTATACCAGTTAAATTGAGAGGTTTTATTTGAAAGTAAGTTTTTTCTTATATCCCCGACTGCTGATATAAACGTATACTGAGACTACAAATTCAGCGATATGAAAAGAACTTACAACAATACAATGTAATACAATAAATACTATTCACACAGATATAAAACTATTTCTATGTCCTTATTTTTCTAATTTTTCACCGTAATTCTTATTTCTGTAAGAGGCCAGGTTACGAAACAGTTTGCTTTTGTGAAAATAAAACAAATTACTATCAGTTTATTACTGTACACATTTTGATTTTGGACTCAAGTAAATATGTCCTCACTAGCCCTACTCAACGCTGCAGGCTTTGGCACATGACATTTTTACTTTCATCCCAGCTAACAAAATTTAGTCTTCCGAACGTTTTCAAACATTAGTTATTATGGTTATTTCACGTTAGTTTTGAATGTTCATCTGACGTAAGCCAGGAAAGTTTTGTTGTCGTCAGCTCCACGTTATTTACAAATGTTACAGGATACGTTAAGCAGACGTCACTTTTAACGTTCGTAGCACGAATTCAAGTAGTCGTCTGTCTATTCAAAATCGTTACTAGAAAATGTTCCTGAAACGTTCCCGAAACACAAAGGTTCGCTTGACGTGAACCGGGAAAGTTTTTTTGTCGTTCTCCCAACTTTCTAAAAGAACGTTATAAAATATACTCGTGGCACGGATTAAAAAGGTTATCATAAAATGATCCCAGGACGTTATCTAAACCTTTATTTCGGTTCGCTTTATGTACCGGTAACGTCTACAGCATGTATTACACTTCACCTCTTTAACGTTCCGGATAACGTCAATAGCAGGTGTTAAATTCTCCTAACCTTAACGTTACAGAGAACCTCTGGAGAATGTGTTAAATCCCTCCCCTGTAAGGTTTCAGATAACGTCTATAGCATGTGTTTTTTCCCCTCCTTGAACGTTACAGATAACATCTAGTGCAGGTGTTAAAATCCTCCCGGTAAACGTTCCCTATAACGTCTAAAGCATGTGTTAATTACTAACCGCAATACGTTACATATAACGTCTACAGCATTTGTGAAATTCGTCTCCGTAAATGTTCCCGTTAACGTCTACAGCATGCGTGAAATCCCCCTCCATAAACGTTCTCGATAACGTCTATAGCATGTGTTACATACCCCCCACCATTACCGATAACGTCAATAGCACGTCTTTATCCCCAACCCTAAAACGTTACGGATAACGTCTATAGCAGGTGTTCAATTCTCCCCCCGAAACGTTCTCTATAACGTCAAAAGAATATGTTAAAACCCCATTCTAATACGTTACACATAACGTCTATAGCAGGTTTTCAATGCTCCCCCTAAAACGTTCTCTATAACGTCTATAGCATGCATTAAATTCTTCCCCCTAAACGTTACAGATAACGTGTAACTCAAGTATAACCTGTAATATTATTCCTTCAAAGGTCAGCTTAATTCTATCATCAAAAATATGAATATTAACCAGTATTTTTTTAAATATAAATTTAATAAGTAACGATAACAATAAATTAAAAAGTATAGGCCTAAATCAACATCACAGAAATCATACATCAATATCACAGAAACAGTAAATAATCCTACAGTAATCAGAATCACAGAATCAGTATATAATCATATAGTATCACCGAATCAGTATATTGTCATACAATATCAGTGCATCACAGCACTATAGTATAATCCTACAATATCACATAATCAGTATACAAGTATAATCATGCAGAATCAGTAATATAATCATGCAGTATCAGTATTATAATCATATAGTATCAGTATTATAATCATATAGTATTATAATCATATAGTATCAGTATTATAATCATATAGTATCAGTATATTATCATAAAGTATCAGAGAATCAGTACATCATCATACTGTATCGGAATATAATCATAAAGTATCACAGTTATCAGTATATAATCACAAAGTGTCACAGAATCAGTATATTATCAGATATTATCACAGAATCAGTATATTATCATAGTATCTCTCTTATCATACAGTATAAGCGTATTATCATATTTATTCACATAATTTTATTATACTCATACAGTATCACTGAAATTAGAATCACAGAATCAGTATATAGTCATACATTATCACAGTAATCAGAACCACAGAATCAGTATATAATCAACTAGTATCACAGAATCAGTACATATAATCATCATATAGTATCACAGAACCAGTATATAATCATCATATAGTATCACAGAACCAGTATATAATCATCATATAGTATCACAGAACCAGTATATAATCATGCAGTATCAAAGTAATCAGAATCACAAAATCTGTATACAATCACATATCACAGTATCAGAACTATTCAGAACCACAAAATCAGTATGTCATACAGTATCACAGAATCAGTTTATATATTCTCATACAGTATCACAGAATCAGCATATAATCATGCAGTATCAAAGAATCAGTATATAATTATGACTCATCGGCCCTGACTCATCACTATCATTTGTATCTTGTAAGGTAACTCTTCTGTAATTATAAAACAAGTCAAAATGAGGCAAGTTAGCTTTGGCATGAAATGTCTATACAAATATCCAGTAAACTAATGAGTGGATGACGTTCGGATGGGACGAAAAACCGAGGTCCCGTGCACACATTTGCGTGCATGTAAAAGATCCCTTGGCAGTTGGAATTCGATATATGAGTAGGCTGTAGCGCCGCTGCCCGGGCAAAATTTCCCTCATAGCACACTGTATGGCGTATGCCCGTATTCATTAGCCCAGGTTAGGAGCAGAACAGTGGGACGTTAAACCCCATTTCTTTTCATTTTCCAAAATATAACCGTCTTCATTTGCCCAATTCGGAGCAGAACAGTAGGACATTTAACCCCATATCATTTCATGTCATTTCCAAAATACCAATCAACCCCCGAAATATAATGTCAAAACTATTCCAATATGTTTACAACCAGTGTCTCAACTCGCACTGCTTTGAAGAAAGTATTTGTAAAACATGCAAGAATAGACAGCAGTTGGCAAATTTTGAAATCTATATTTATAATAATAATTTTTGAAATATTTATACTTAAATAAAACTGCATTATATTGTAAATTCAACAGGTAGACATCATTTAATCACAATTTTCCCAAAATATTGCTAATCAACACCGGAAATTGCTAATCAACTGCCTAAATTTACCTCATTTGAAAAATATTGAGAACCATGGTCGCAATAACATTTGAATATGTGTTATGATTCCTAATAAATGCTTTGGATACTTCTCAGCTAAGATTTTTGCAAGTCTGTTTAGATCTCCTGATCGTAGATAAGGCAAATCTTTGGACTAGAGTCACTCAGTCACACTTAAGTTTTGGACTTTTCTCTGGCCCAATGAAGTTTCAAAAATATTGGAATTTTACAGACTGATGGACCGACTTTTATGGCAACAATATTCTCTCAAATTGAAAATATGAAAAAGTTGATTACCTGAGCATATTTGAGGGTATCTCCAATGGAATCATTGATCTCTTTAATAGTACTGTTTGTTTATATGTAATTTTCTACAGGCTTCTGAAATCAAATTTAAGATTAGTAAGTTAAACATGTGTTAGCGTTTTAGGGTGCATGATAAATATAAACTTAATCAGATTATAATTTTGTTGACAATCAATAGGCCAATAACCTAAAACGCGATTTTTCGCACAATCAGGGCCGGGGCTATAATCCCAGAAGTCACAATCCGATATGCACTAATAACTAAAGGAACCAAGATCATTGGTATAGAAACATATAAAGATTAATCAAAATCAGATAAAATTGTAACATACTTTTACACTATTATTTGAAAAAGTTGATTACCTGAGCATATTTGAGGGTACATGTATCTCCAATGAAATCATTGATCTCTTTAATAGTACTGTTTATATGTAATTTTCTACAGGCTTCTGAAATCAAATTCAAGATTAGTTAAACATGTGTTAGTGTTTTAGGGTGCATGATAAATATAAACTTAATCAGATTTTAATGATTTTGTTGACAATCAATAGGCCAATAACCTAAAACACGATTTTTCGCACAATCAGGGGCTGTAATCCCAGAAGTCACAATCCGATATGCACTAATAACTAAAGGAACCAAGATCATTGGTATAGAAACATATTAAGATTTATCAAAATCATAAAAGTTGTAACATACTTTTACACTATTTGTGTACAAGGAGCAGGCAGTTTCGGTCTGATTTTCACAAAATTGTGACCTACATGTAGAGGCACCACAAGCTAAAAACATGATTTTTTTGTACAATCAGGGGTCATAACCAAATGGAACCAATATATTTTATAATATATTTAAGTGTTTTTTTAAAATTGAATACAGTGATTTTTCGAACAATCAGGAAGATGCAATACGATATGCGCAAACAAGAAACCAAGATCTTTGGGTTATAAACATACATTTCAAGTTTTATTTTATCAGACAGCTTTGGTTTGATTTTCACAAAATTCAAACTCAACTGTAATTGGGTGAAACGGTGATATGTTTAAACAATTTATGAAGTAGGACAAAAGTTGTGATCTCTAGTAATGTTTGAACGATATTTGAAGTCCTATATAATTGGAGAGCTGTGATATCACAGTGGGGAAGCGAATGTCATGAGACAAATGTGCGAACATCTCCATGAACGTAGTAAATGCACAAAATACCACAATAATACAGGATACATGTATGATAATAATAGTTAATACCAAATAGTCATTTTTAACTGAAAACCGTTATGTTTTTGTGTTAAAAAAGACCCTCAAAATGCGATTTCCAAGCAAGGATTTTCTGTAAAACACGAGTTACCACTTACATACCTTGGTTACAACTTTCAAACTTGCTCCAAAATTTTGAAGGGCATTTTTGACACATTTTTCATTAAGGGCGTTGAGCAGTATAAAATGCACATTTTAAAGCTAGCACTGTAATTTTTGTTGATAAGATATGACATCTTTTGTTACATGGGGTGATAAACTACATATTAATCACCAAAACAATACCAATTTTTTTTTACCATCAAGCCAACGGTGAGGCTGATGTCCCCACCGAAATCCCAAAATAAATAGAGGACACATTTAATTAATCGTACATTTTTCAAAAGTATCAAGCAATCAAACTGATTATCAACTATACACTAAGTTTCAACACTCTATATCAGACCAGACATAATCAAAGTTATCTTGTCCCAAAGCATCGACCAATGAAATTGCTTAGCTTTGCTTAGCTTTACCTTGAAATGTTAATCATTGAACTCCGTCAAGACATTCACCTAATGAACATCTACGTCAAGTTAAAACATTGTACCTCAATTAAAAGCAGGGTTGTTATGTTTAAAAGTCTTCACCAATCAAATTGCTTATCGCTACTTAGTCTTAGTAGAAAATTCTCATCATCAAACTTAGTCAAGGTAATGATATGATGAATCTATACTCAGAGTTTCATCACTCTCACTTAATTATAACCAACGTATCGTGCCCCAAAGCATCAATTCAACCAATCAGATTGCTTATTTCTGCTTACCGTAAGCAGACAATGTTTATCACTGAACTCCATCAAGGCATTCACCTAACGAACGCCTACACCAAGTTTGAACATTCTACCTCAATTAGAAGGAGAGTTATTGTGTTCCAAAGTCTCGAGAAGTCTCGGCCAATCAAATTGCTTAATGCTCTGCTTACCCTGAACAGAAAATGTTCATTCGAACTTAGTCAAGGTATTGATGTGATAAAACTATACACCAAGTTTCCTCACGTTCTCTTCATTAGAACTAAAGTTATCATGTCCCAAAGTATCAACCAATCAAATTGCTTATCTCTGCTTAACCTATGCAGAAAATTCTCATCTGCAAACTCCATCACCCAATAAACATCTACGTCAAGTTTCAACATTCTAGCTAAATCAGAATGAGAGTTATTGTGTTCCAAAGTCTCGACCAATCAAATGGCTTATAATATCGCTTTGCTTACCCTGAGCCGAAAATGTTCAATATCGAACTTAGTTATAAAACTATGCACCAAATTTCATCACTCTCACTTAATTAGAATTAATGTTATCATGTCCCAAAGCATTAACCAATCAAAGTGCTTATCTCTGCTTACCCTAGGCAGAAAATGCTCATCCTCGAACTACATCAAGGCATTGACCTAATAAACACCATCACCAAGTTTGAACATTCTAGCTCATTTAGAAGGAGAGTTATTGTTTTCCAAAAAGTGTGACGGACAGACAGACGAACCCATTTTAATAGTCCCCTGCTTTCTTTGGAAGGCGGGGGACAATAAAGAGGGTTGATGAGAACAAAAGTCAAATTTTCTCAGTTATACCATACCTGCATGGATTTTCATTAAATTTGGTATGAATAATGCTATAAATTGCAAGTCCCAAAAAAAAGATATTGGACAATTTTGGGCCATAGACTGCGGTTTGTCGGGCATCCATGGAAATGACAAAAAACAATGAGTTTTCTAAAATTTCTTGGAAATTCTGTTAGTACCATACATGCCAAACAGATTTAATGATAATTCCCCCATTAGATCGAAAGTAGAGGTTATAAGCGACATTTCGACACCAAAAACGTAAAATATCAACGCAATGTCTTTTAAAATCTTTGTTCATTATTTACCTTCAAACAATATTCGGACATAAAAGTAAATATTTACTTCAGTGCACTACTCTGCCGCTCTAAAAATCATTTTATACATTCAAAAATGGTAATCTTCGATCATCAATATATGAAATTCAGCCATGTTCCAGTCGCGATAGATGGTAGACCTGGATAATTGCGTCTTCTGATTCCTTCTGATTTATTCAAGAACTCATCTTGGTCGGGGAAACCATCTCGTTTGCTATAAATAATATGTTTCTTTCCGCTTGTAGCCTACCTCAATTATTACACAACAAACGGTTGGGCTGTTACTATGTCCTCTGGGTTACATGTATTTTACCCAAGGAACAAGTATAAATTTGGTGTTGAAAAGTTAGTGCGTATCACTCAACTCAACGCCCTTAGCATAACAAGCGGTTGCCATGCAAGATATGCTCACATTTTGCAAGAGATGGACAGAGGACAAGCTAAAACATAAAAGTGATCTTTGTGGAATCTGGGACCATAAACCAGCAAGTGAGGGTCCGATATGCACCAACATCAAAAGGAATTAAGGAACCAAGATCTTTTGGATATAAACATAAAATTTTAATAAGTTTACAACTTATAGAGGGTTCACAACAACCTTGGTATTGACTACATACTATTACACTATTTGTGTATAAGGAGCAGCCATTTTGTCGTGTAATTTCAGACCAATTTTAACATAATTTGAACTCCGCCATCATTTGTGCGTTACCGTGATATATTTAAACTTTTTTTTTTCAATTGGATAAAAATTATAACCTCTACAGGCACCACAAGTTGAAAACGTTACTTTTTGTTCAATCAGGGGCCCCAACGTTATCCAGAAAATTACGATCTGATATGAGCAAATGTCAAAAGGAACTAAGATCTTTGGGAAATACACATACATGTACAGTTCAAGATTTAGCAAAATTGGTTAAAAATTGTGACTTCTAGAGGGTCCACAACCTTGGTATTACATACTTTTACACAATTGGTGTAGACAGAGCAGCCTTTTTGTCGGGCAGTTTTGGTCCGATTTTCATGAAATTCGAACTAATCAGGATTAAAACGGTTTCTTTAAAAACTGAATACAAATTGTGACGTCGAGAGGGTCCACAATCTAGAAACATGATTTTCTTGAACAATCAGGGCCTGTAAATCCAGGAAGTTGCATCTGATTTGCACAAACATTGAAAGGAACAAAGATCTTGCGGTTTATAAAGATACATTTCAAGCCTCAAGTTTCATCACACTTTTCACAGCCAGCTAAAGTAAAAATGTGGTTTTCAGTGCAATCATTGGCCATAAACAATAAAGTGGTCCGACACATGCCAATTTCGAAAGGAACAGAGATCTTTGGAAAATTTCGGATAATATTGTGACCTGTCGAGCGCCCACAAACAAATTGTGGACTGACTGGCCTAATGAAGACAATGTGTTATGAGGGAAATTTTGCCCGGGCATCGGCGATACGGCCTACTCTTATATCGAATTCCAACTGTCAAGAGATTTTTTACGTGCACACCAATGTGTACACAGGACCTCAGTTTTCCGTATCATCCGAATGACTAGACAGCTGTCCTCCGTCCGTCCTGCATCACTAACAAGGGGAAACCACACCGGAAAATCTGGATGAACTTTCTTGGCCAATGCAGGGATCGAACACCCATCCTCCAGACTATTGAACCAGCGTCTTTACCACGTGATCCCCCTGGACTGACGTCCAGGCAGGGGCGAGTCGGGTGGACGACATGATATACCGGTACAGTCACATGAAAATGTGAGAAACTTCCAAAATGTGGGCATATAAAAAACAGTAAGCTTATATTATCCAACATTGATATACATGTAAATTATTGTGATACGAGTTGAAATAATAGTGGATTTGGTTACAAGTAGAACTTCACAAATTACTTGGAAATAAATTTGGAGGTGCCATTAGACTAGGGCTGGCAATCGATACCTATTTTGAATATCGATATCGGCAACCATTTTGGCAATATCGATATCGATATATCGGAAAATTTAAAGTTGAAAGAAATAATTGTTTGTATGCTAATAATGCATTTAAATGTGTTATTTTATTGATGAAATAAAAAAAAGTAACTATGATCCTCAAACTATGTTTTCTTAATGTTTGTTTCATTCACAGCTTATCTTTAGTATTATTAACAAAATAGTAATCGCAGCTTCGCGTTCGCCATCATTGCTGTTGACAATTTTCCTCGGCCGCTTATAACAATAAATAAATTTGTATTAAAATCGAGTTATTTCCCATGAACAATTAATTAATTATTCATTGTCATTGTTGTAAACGACCCCAAAAATTTTCGACTAGTGTGTGGTTATTAGTTTTAGCGTGTTTTGAAAGATATGACGGCGATTATTTGACACAAAACATTCCGTTAATTTCATTTTATTGAAGCTTCTTTATTTTTTATACGAGTATCGATATCAAGAATTTGAATATCGATATTTTTCCGT